CTTGACGCAGAACACGAGAAAGTAGCCTTGCTTCACCAACAAGGTTCTCAACAAGCAGAGTTGTTGAGAGAACAGGGTGTTCAACAGTTTGAACTGTTGAGACAGCAGCAGGCTGCTGCTGGCGGGTCGATGCACTCGCGTCGACCCGAAACCTTGAAGATTGACATCTCTAAGAATAGGGGAGTCGAAGAGGACTCCCTCTTGAGATGGTTCGTCGAATTGGATGACGCCAAAAGGGCGCGTCGCATCGACGACGGGGATATGCAAGTTGCATTTGCCCAGTCAAATCTGGCAGGACGTGCCAAGACTTGGGCACTGGGGCTCAAGTTGCACGACCCATTTGCGTTTGGGTCGTTGGAAGTCTTCAAGTCGCGGCTCAGACAAACGTTTGAACCGCCTAGAGCTGAGTTCAGAGCTCGAACCGAACTCTTGAATCTCAAGCAGGGTAAGCGTGATGTGCACGCTTACGCTCAACATATACGACATCTCACGAGTTGTATAAGTTCCAATCCGGTGGATGAACACACGTTGGTTTCGGTGTTCATGCAGGGTCTTGCGGATGGTCCCGTCAAGACTCACCTGTTCCGGCTTGAACTAGATTCACTAGAACAAGCCATTTCCATTGCGGAGCAGGAAGACTTCAGTCTGAGACAGGCTCGCGCCAGCTCGACATCATATCGTCAACCGAGACGATATGACAGCGGAGGTCCAGAGCCGATGGAACTCTGTTATGTAGAGAGCGAGAAGGCTCGCTCTACAGGCTACAAGAAGTTGCAGAGATGCAACAGATGTCAAAAGACAGGAAACTACGCTTACGAGTGTAGTGCCCCTCGTTCAGTGTCTCGCGACACTGGGCGTAGTGACCGTCCACCCATGAGAAAGGGGCAGGGACGAGGGTCCGCTGTTGGTGCAAAGACGCAACAACGGGATGGACCGTCAAAAAACGGACAGGATCAGTAGGTGCGGAGCACCCTACTGATCCAGCAACGTCAAGAGAATTTGTAGGCCTCTTAATGAAGGTTGCTCCCAACACACAAACGTTGTGCGTTGCTGCTCTAGGTAATGAGGTCTCACTCATTACCTTGAAACTCGAAGTGACGAATAAGTTGTCCCTTCGAGCTCTAGTCGATTGTGGGGCGTCCAACAATTTTGTGAGAAGATGGTCACTTTAATTTTGTTGAATGTGACACACCTCCTACGAGGATGACGGTACGTCTTGCGACAGGCGCATCCGTAACCGTCATGAAGCGTATAGTGAAGATCCACTATACGCTAGAAGATACCCAATATGACGATGACTTTATCGTATTGGATTTGGATGACAAATTTGATGTCATCCTTGGAATACCGTGGCTCAGAAGGTACGAACCACGAGTAAACTGGCAACATCGAACAGTAACGATGCCTGCCGCTTGTTCATCAGATGGCCATCTGATGAACGTTTTGGAGCGTCCACAAGCGTGTGGATGTACTACGAGTGAGTGCGATGGCCTCACTTGTGGTACGATCGTTAGTACGACTGCACGAAACCTTAGTGTACCAAACGGTTACACTTCGGAGAAAAGTTCCGGCGGCTGTGAGGAAACACAGGCTGCGCCGAAGGTCCACCACTCGAATAAGTCGGGTGGACTGGGACAAAGATGTATCCCTAGCGGGGAACATCTGGAAGAGAAACAATCGATCGCTCAGGTTAAGCGAAACGATAATCCTAGATCGACTGGAGAGTCTTTCGTAGAGGATCTCGCTGTGGTTGCGCAACCTTAGCTATAGGAAGTAAAGGGAATAAGTCCCAAGATTACAAATACGGCGGAAATATGTTCCCCGAAACCCGCGGGAATAAGTCCCCAGGAAATGACAGATACATTAAATGTCCTAGTCAATGACGGATCAAGTGTAGGCGCTTATACACTTGATCTGATTGCGCCTCCGAAGTTAACTTCGGAAATCACTCAGTTGCCAACGCTCGAACATAAAAGGTTCTTGCGTGATCTGCGTAGTGGCAAAGTCAAGCAGATCTGCGTATTCGTCGCTGACGACGAGTGTGTAACCGACATAAGGTCAGCAACAGTGTTTACTGAGAACGAGAGAGTTCTCAGTAGTTCATCTATGGACGAGAGTGTCCTAGATGAAAATACACGAATTGAGCGATATGACTCCCAATCGTGGGAATCGCTCAAGAAAAATCCTCTCTATGAAGATTTGGTTGAATTCAAGGATGTATTCCCTGAAACTGTTCCGTGCGAATTACCGAAGGATAAAGGTATTCGACACGAGGTCGAGCTTAAACCAGGCTCGAAGTACTGTGTCATGAAGCATTGGCCACTGCCTCGTGAACAAGTACTTGCGATCGACAAGTTCTTTGCCGATCGTTTAGCTGCGGGCCATGTGAGGGAATCAACTTCCCCACATAGCTCTCCGACCTTCTGTGTGCGAAAATCAACAGGAGGGTGGCGGATAGTGCATGTATTTAACAACTTGAACGCTGCAACGGTACCGGCTCAGACGCCGATACCGAGGAAGGACGTAATCATTGATGGTATGTCAAAGAGTACCATCTTTTCGTCCATGGATTTGATGGATGGATTCTATCAGATCCTTATGCGAGAACGGGATATACCCTATACCGCAGTTAGCACGCCTAGCGGCATGCTCTGGGAATGGCTAGTAATGCCACAAGGGCTTAGTAATGTCCCTGCCACATTCAACAGATGTGTATCACATCTGTTGAGACCAGTACGAGACTTCGCGCCGAGTTATTTCGATGACGTATTCATCCATAGTCGAGCTATGGATGGAAAGTCGGACGTTGAGGTTCACAGGTACCACGTCCGACAAGTTCTTACAATCATGCGAAAGCATCAATTGCATGCTAACCTCAAGAAGTGTATATTCGCAGCAAGCGAAATACCACTTCCTGGGTGCATCGTTGGTAAGAACGGTGTACGTCCTGATCCCGAAAAGATCAAGGCGATCACCGACTGGCCTGTGCCGGTTGATGTCAAAGGTCTTCGAAAATTCCTTGGGCTAGCGGCGTATTTGCATAAGTATTCACGCAATTACGCCGAGATGACTGTGCACCTCTCTCGTTTGTTGAAAAAGAACGAGAGGTGGTTATGGAACGCTGAATGTCAGCGCTCCTTTGAGGGTATCAAGCAGAGCTTGATACAATCCCCAGTCCTAGCAATAGCCGATCAGGACAGGCGATTTCATGTGGTCTGTGATGCCAGCGATTTCGCAATCGGCTGTGCATTAATGCAGTACGACCTAGAAGGCGTTGAACGCGTCGTCTGCTATCAGTCGCGTCAGCTGCAACCAGCTGAGCGGAACTATCTAGTGCATGACAAGGAACTCCTTGCCATGAAGTATGCACTCGCAAAGTTCAGATTCTATCTTTTAGGAGATAGACCCTACATTGTTTACACTGACCTGGCGTCATTACGCACGGCAGTGAACAGTCCGCACCTTTCGCAACGAATGGCGCGGTGGTTGTCATTCTTTGCAGAATACAACTTTACGGTCGAGTACAAACCAGGACGACTCAATGTCGTCGCTGATGCACTCTCACGTCGTCCCGACTTTGAAACAGTCACGAAACCCAACAGTGAGACAGTCACTGTTGCGGTTATGACGTCCTCAGTCCCATCTACAACGTTGTATGATGATGTGAGGCGGGCATACGCCCAAGATGGTGAGATTGTGAAGCTGTTGACACATCTCTCCCAACCATCTTGAGAATCGTTGAAACGATTGTCGCCTGCGTATCGATCTGCATCAGATCGATACACTACTCGTAACGGTTTACTGTATTATACAGCCGTTTCTGGTGACACACCGCGTGTTGTCATTCCAGATGATACTGGTCTGCGTTTGCGGATCATGTTCGAGTATCACGATGCTCCTATAGGAGGACATCGTGGCCGGGAGAAAACATATCTCACGGTGAGTCTAGACTTTTACTGGCCACGCCAGTATCAGTTTGTGCGAAAGTATGTTCGCGCATGCGAAGTCTGTCAACGAGTGAAGTCTAGTCCTTCACTGCGTGCACCTTTACAGCCTCTACCGGTTCCGGCTGAGTGCTGGGAATCCATCTCAATGGATTTCGTCTTCGGGTTACCCAAAGACGCACGCGGGAATACGGGTATTCTTGTACTTGTTGACAGATTCAGCAAAATGATACACCTTGTGGCTGTACCAGAGACAAACACGGCAAGTGGCTGTGCTTGTGTCTTTATTGACACCATCTTCCGACTTCATGGGTTGCCCCGTGAACTCGTATCAGACAGAGATCCACGATTTACTGCTGAATTCTGGCGTTCCGTAATCAAATCACTGGGAAATGCGCTTGAAGATGTCGACATCTGATCATCCAGAGTCAGATGGTCAGACGAAACGAGCCAATCGTGTCCTCGAAGAGATACTTCGAGGATACGTACACTCCTTTAAGAGTTGGAGTGAGTTTTTGCCAATGGTAGAGTTTGCCATTAACAACTCAGTGCATGCGTCCACGACACATACACCGTTTTACGTGAATGGCTTGCGCCATCCGCGTGTACCCACCTTACTAGAGTGTAACTCTGGTTTAAGGGGGGGAGGGACTCGCGCGAGCAAAAACCGATTTGGTTCACGCTCATCACGCTCTGACGAAGAGGTCATTGCGTTTGATGCCGATATCGATAACATCGATATCGAAGAAGATGATGCCAGTGAGAGTGCGGAAGCCCTCACTGAAGAAGATGATCCCAGTGAGAGTGCGGAAGCCCTCACTGAAGAAAAGATTGATTTTGCTGCTGTGCGCTCACAGCGCACTGAAGCTAACGAGTCATCAGATGAGTTCATACTGGCTCGTGAAACGGTAGTCCGTTTTGTGCAAGACTCCATCGCCGAAGCGGTGGATAAGCAAAAGCAAAACGCTGACAAGAATGGAAGGGCAAACACTCTTTTATTTAATGAAGGTGACTTAGTCCTACTGTCTACGGTTAATCTACCAAAACATGTAGTGACTAACTTGGGTAGTAGTAAACTACTACCCAAGTACATCGGCCCATTTCGTGTATTGCACCGCCTAGGCAATGCATACACGATCGAGTTACCACATAAGATGCGAACGTATCCCACTTTTTACGTTGGTCGGCTGAAGTCGTACCATCAGTACGCTGCTTCTTCCGATGAAGAACGCCCTTGCGCTCAAGCATCTCGCAGAGAGCCTTGTGCTCCCGATGGTAAGCATCAACAAGGGTCTGAAGAGCAGCTATCTCATCCCGAGACCGATCAACAATTCCACGAGCTACCCTTAGTTCGTCACGAAGAGATGTCAGAGATCTCTCGTTCTCAAGATGAGCAAAGGCAAACTCAGCTCGATGCTTCAAGGCAGTGTCCGCCATTTGGAGACGCCTGTCCCGCTCATGTTCGAGATCGTCGCGTGACCCTTGCGTTACGCGATCAAAGAAGCTCTCGGGAACACACCGATCCACATGATCGTGTGGAGAGCGTCTTTCTTCCTCCTCCAAATCCATTAGAGGACTCTCGCGGTGGCCAGCGCTATCTAGTTGAGCATCTGTTGAACCACCGCGACGTGAACGGACTTCGGACGAGTTACCTCGTCCGGTGGCGCGGCTATCCCCCGTCCTGGGATTCTTGGGAGCCCCGCTCCCAACTGATAATCGACGTACTGGGTCTGGTCTATCAGTACGACGCGGCACATCCTGTGCCGCAGAAGGACCGCCGGAGAAAGTCTTCCCGGCACGGTCGTAAAGGGATTTCAAGTTGTCAATCCCTTCGTACATCTCAGTAGAGATACGTACGCGCCACCACGGGCTGGTAAGGAGGTAAGCCTCCTTAGGCGCTCGTGCAGAGTTGTTCACACAACACGGGCACGAGTCTCCCCAAGAGAGGCAGGGTAATCCTTTCTCCCTTGACAGACGATGCAGCTTGTAGCGTGCACCTGTTGGGGTTCGCTTTTCAGACTTATCACGAGCTTTGATAAGTTTGTCGTTCCAAGCGTCACGACCTACATCCTCAAGGTTATGGATGTAGGCGTTTCACGCCTGAAGCAGTGAGGGACCATCACGTTTGTGATTCCCACTGTACCATCGATGTTTGAAGAAAGCATCGATGAAGAATTCGTTTTCAGCGCGATAGTTTTTCGCACTGGGGTCAAGGTGATGGATCCTTGACGAATCGAACAATCGTGTTCGATAGCTATCACTCGTCGTCGCCGACAAGTGATCCATGACGTATTTTGGAGGCATCCATGCCTTCTTTACAGGAGCGAGACTCAACACATTGCGGTCCCGCTCTTCCTGCGACGTGCCCACAGAAGTACTGGCACCTCGCTGTGAAGTGGCGTCCATAGGAGAACCGACACCACTGTTAGCGCTCGAGTCTCGCGACCTCGAGCGCCTACGCTTCGGCGATGGTTCATCTGATTCGTCAGATGAACCAAAGATGCTACGACGCGTAGCATCATCCATGCCACGCTTGGCAGGCGGCTTGGTTTCAACCGCCTTCGTTACAGATCCCTCTTCCGTATCAGGAGAGTACGAGACACCGAGCTCGTACTCTGTGAAGACACGAGTGTCTTCATGACCAGCGCCTGCATCACCAAGTGACACAGGCTATGTCGCTTCAGCAACCGATGAGACATCAGTTGCTGTGGTTTCTGCTTCGGCGTCCGCACAGAGACGTGCGGACGCGCTCTTGGAGGCCTTGCTCGCGCATCGCATGGGCTTGTTAACCATGCGATGAAATGTTGGGAAGTGGACTCGGACCAACAAGTGCAAACCCTGTCCTAAATGATTTGGGACGAGTATCCATTTAGTCAATCAGTCACTAGAGTGACTGATGGTTAAAGGGGGGGTGATGAAACGGGGTGAATCGTTACATAACAATTTATAAGAAATTGTTAATAGAATATAACTATAAGAGTTATATTCTCAGAATATTGTCATAAGGACAAATATTCTGTAGCACTTACGAGTAGTTCCTAATTGGTTGATATAGGCCATTATATCAACCAACGAAGACGCGCCACGACAGACGCACGCAATGAGTGGTGAGAAGATAGTTGATTTACACATTTGTATTTAGACATAGTTAGATGAAGATGAATAGTGATTTATTGCAGACATTAACTATTATAAATACAGTTCTACTTTTTACTTTAACCAAGTACTCGCTTCTTCTTACCGTCTTCCTCTGCACGTACGAGTGTACGTGAAGTTACGAGGCACCGCCTTATTCTGTCATCAGAATGAGTAGCTTGTACTGTTACCAGTACAAGCTTCAGGGTGCCCCGTTACATTTTATCAATCTTTTGAGATTTTAATCCACTACACGCAACGGATTGATGTACTATACAATTGCTGCCAGCGACAATTCTCTTGTCGTCGTTCCCACGCATAACGATTTGCGCTTGTGCATCTTGTATGCGTGCCATGATGCACCACCTTGTGGGCATCGTGAGTGTTAGAGGACTTATATTAAGGTTAGTTGCGACTTCACTGGCCCTGCCAGTATCAGTTCATGCACAAGTACATTTGTGCTTATGAAGTGTGCCAACGGCTGAAGCCTTGTCCTTTATCCCGTGCGACACTATATCCTCTACCGATCCTAGACGAGTGCTGTCATTCCGTTTCAATGGACTTCGTCTTCGATTTCCTTAAGACTCTCACAAGAATAATGGTATTCTTGTCTTCACAGACCCATTCAGCACGATAGTACATCTTGATGCAGTTAATAAGTCAATCTTAGCACATGGTTGTGCCCGTGTCTTCATTGACAAGGTATTTCGACTCCACGGTCTACTTCATGAAATAGTCTCTGATAGAAATATCGGTTCACGGCGGCCTTTGACAATCAGTGTTCAATTCTCTCGAAACACGCCTAAATTTTTCTAGTTCTGACAATCCCAAGACGGACGGTTATTCCGAACGTGTCAACCGCTTCCTCGAAGACGTACTTGTATAATCAGTTTAATCCTTCACAGGTTGGAGCGATGAGTCGCCGACAATGGACTTTGCCATCACAACTCAGTGCTTTCGTCGACAATGCATTCACCAATTTTCGTGAATGGCTTACGCCATCCAAGCCTACCCACATAGTGTGTGACTCTGATTCAAGGTGTACAGGAATTACGATTGAGTAAAAACCGTTCTCTTGCTCATCATGTGTCAAATCTCCAGGTCTATATCAACAATTAACCATCACGCTTGTAATTACAACTGTACTATCAATGCTTAAAAATGCATCGTTAAAAAAAATTAGTGCGACAATTACTCGCACTAGGACAAAGTATATGAACCCTTGATGAATCGAATAATAGCATTCGATAGCGATCACTTTTCGCATCAGACATAATAACCAATACTCACTGAGGAGGTAGAGGAGGTAGCCATGTCTTATTCTAAGGAGCAACGCACAATGTGTTGCAACCTACAGTCTCTTGTCTGGTGTCAACAAAAGTACCAAAATTAGGATCATCCCGACCACCCAAACTTTGATGCATGATTGCATTACCCTCACGATCGTCCCTTTGGCTAGCACCACCGCATTTCTCGCTTTCAGCCGAACGATCCCGTCTCGAAGTCGGAGGGTCTGTCTCGTCGGACGATCCGTGATACCACGTGCTCTGCGAGTCCTTAAGCGCTTCGGGAAGCCGACTCTGTCGGCTCTGGTCTAGCCAAATCTGGCCCATCCTAGGTTTTATATCTTTTGAGTAGGTCCCACCGTCAAACTCTTCACAGTACGTGAGATCGAGCTCATTTCCCTGATATTACGCGGTGCATTACCGCGTGCGCCTGCGTTAGTCGCTGCTGCAGGCTGAGTCGTAGAAGCAGCAGAAGCATTTACATCAGCTGCTTCGGGTGATCTTGTTCCCCCCTACTTTAGTGGAGCGGAATCTCATTGTTGCGTTCTCAGCAGCTTAGACTGCACACCGCATAGACTTGTTAATTCATACAATGAGAATGAGGAATGGATGGATTGACCAACAAGTGCTTTCCCGTACCAGAGTCAGTCCAAAAGTTACTCAATCATCCATTAGTCAATAATGTGCCTTATGGGAAATGATGGGCAAAGTAACGGGGTGCCTTCGTTACGTGATAATGTACACAAGGTAATTATCAAATACAATTATCATATTTAGACAAACAGTATTCTCACAATATAATCCTTACAGATAAGATTGCTTCGCGGATGAAACACACTGCTCATAAGTTGGTATAAAACGAACATATCAAATAATATAGTCTATCCACGACAGAAGTACGCAATGATTGGTGCGCAGATATTTAAAAAACACATTTGTGTCTAGACTTAGTTGACTGAAGTCAAAAAAAGAATTAACAAAAAGACTTTTCAATCCTTAATAAAGTTGTATTTTTACCTTTACTGAGTACTCTTTTTCTGAATGATATTCTACTCTGCACGTAAGTGTACGTGAGGTAGTCGGAAGCACACACCCTTGCACTGTCAGCAGTGCAAGATTTGTTCAGTTAACTAAATGGGGTGTGCCTCGTTACACAAACACCACATCTTCTTCTTCTTCAGAAAAAGAAGCAACTCTTGCGACGAGGTCTTTATCGTGCAGTTTATTCTCTCTGTGGTGGCTCCAGTGAGGCTTCCGATTCACCATTATCACTGTCATAAAGACTAGCTTCGCTCATCTCCCTGATGGCATATTTAAGACGGTGACCCCGGACACTATCCAAACTCAAGTCAGCTGGGTACATAGTTCCCACCTGCAGATTTTGTGGTTTTGGTTACAAGGACAGAGGAAGATTGATACAATGCTTGTGCATCTAGACTAGTTTTTGGCGGATGTAACGAGGAAAGCCCTTTTACGTCTTACTGCCAAGGTGGTCTTACCCGATTCAGCGGCTGCCTTAAGGAGTGTACGCGGTGGTTCAGATTCGATCTCTATTGTGATACCTTGGCTTCGATGAAGACCTCGTAGTGATCACTCTAGATCTTAAAATGATCGACGCTTACAAATCTGTCGTTTATATGGCAAGGCTATATGAAAGAGATTACAAAGTTTTATGATGGATACAAGCGTGTAAGACGACGTCCAGCCTATCTTCCATTCTTTCATACATCCTTAAATATCGAATGTTTGTATGAGCCAACAAAACCCGAAGCTGGCACATGGCACAAGCTCTCTCCAACGTATACTGACGACCAATGAAATTAGAAAAGACAGTTAGACATGCAACATACCAGATAATTGGGGCGGTCGGTTTGCCGTCGACCACAAAGTGCGGCCAATGATTTGAAATTTAATAAAAAAGGGGAGCATAAGTGAAATAGTTCTAATTATTCTAGGGCAAGAAAAAACCCACTTAGTACTTAATCATAAAATTAGTAAGTACTTCGGATGGAAATCGCTACACATTAACTTTTGCCGAAGTTAAAAAAAATTAAGGGTTAAAAGTATCGAGCACACGGTGAAGCGGAGCTACTTAGCGCTCCTTAACATTGGAAATCTTAGACTCAAAGAATCTCTTAGTTATAACAAACTAACAATGAAGTACATTAGTTTAAGCGTACAACCTTAACAATCCCGTTTTCATAGGCTTTACGATTCACATAATTACACACTATCTCGAGACTACTGGTTAAACAGTAGTAAACACCTTGATAAGGCTAATGCTCTTAACAACACACTACGCCTTTACCAGGCGCTTGTGTCCAACGATCCAAAAGGGAAAGTGAAATTTATTTATTATCTAATTACGGTAATGTGAACACGAAACCTTGTCCGACTGACTTCTACATTGCGATCCTATGACATAAATATTATCCCTTATCCCTAACCGGTAAGGTGCGGTATTACCGTAAGTACATGGTACCAATACTGTACCACTCAGATCCACCGATCTTTACTTGATCTGGACAGGCAACGTAACCGATTCGATAACTGCCGTTCAATCCCGTTACAATTTTCCCCCTAAACTGTCGACAATTCTCCTACTGCTCTTTGAGGTCTACCAAAGATCTGGTCCTGACCATCGTGTTCACAACACATCTCGAAATGACCGAGTCAAAGCATTTGTCAACCATCCTCGAGGAATTCCTCGAAGCGGTTCCAGGGGATTGCGAGGGTGACACCGTCACGTCAAGTGTCTGTGAACCACCTCCAGCTACGCCACCGGCGCGTGACACCAGCGCGTCGCGCTTATGTAATTCATGGAACGAGAGGAGGTACCTTTAACCCTTGCACAGCGTGGAGCCGTCGACCCTGCGTTGGGTGTGTTTCACAATACACTAGATACAGGTCAAGCTCGAAATCTTCATTCATTCGATGACCGCAGGCGTCAAGCACAAGGTGGATCCATAGCGTATGCTCACAGTGGCTACCGCTTTATAAAACCGAGTGTGGTAGAACACATTCGTCATGCTGCCGGGCAGTCACTCGCAACATGGGTCACGGGACCCATGTCTGTAACAGCGACAACACTAGCGGATGGGGAGGCTCTCAGATCGAGGTGCCTGGGGTTCGAGCGTACGACCTTCCAACATTACCTCGACTGGCTATCAGCAAGCACGAGGTGCGTCAGTCTCCGCCATGCAAACAGTTCCTGTCGTCTTCTTCCCTGGTGAGATATAGGCGTAAAATGATTCCGTCTCCACGCGTTGAGCTCACATAGCTTGCCGTATACCGTGCCTGCAAAAACCCAACAAGAGCGCTTCACTTGCTAAAATTCGACTCAAACAAACGATGCGC